ACACATAACACTTACTAGCTGTGTGACCCTGGGCAAATAACTTAACCCCATTGCCTAGCCCCCCAAAAAATAAAAAAAAATAAATTTTCATTATAAATAATCATCAACAAACACAAATATTCCAATATACAAAGAACAAAAAAGATCGATATGTAGTATAAGTGTATATTAAAATTAACACAGTAGTAATAAAACTGCTGTTTGTGTCTCCTGACTTTTTTGTTTTCTTCTGTGTATAATTTTTACATTTTCTTAGCTAACTTTTCTAGATAGAAATCTGCTCCTTTTTAAGCACCAAAACTGTTTTTTGTTCATAAATTTTAACCAGCTTGAACAGAAATTTTTACACATTACTTGGCCTTAAATAGTCTGTACTGAACTTAAATTATTTTTTCTTGATAAAGAGGCAATCAGTAATATTTATGAACATCCTCTCCTCAGGCAGTAAGCATTTGTTAACCACCTATTATGTTCCAGGTGAAGAGGTCAAGGGGTTTTGGGGTGCTGGGACCCCAAGATCACGGTACTGATGAGGGCGGGGCCCAAGCCAAGATCTTCACCCTTTGCCTCAAAGGGAATCTGACTCACAGGCCCCAGACCCTCATCTCCCTTTGAAAGCCTTAGATTTACTTTTTAGTCTTTATTCAGATGCGCCCTAAAAGCCTTAGGCTCGCTCTTGTCTATAGGCCCCAGAAAGGCCTTCCTTTGTCTCCTTTTGAAAGTCCTAGCCCCACTTTGATTTTGTGCAGATGCCTTTCAAACTTCTGCCTTCCTGTTCTTCCATTATCTATTCCCATTGTCTATTCAATCTCGCCGACCTCCCCAATTAGAATTGTTACCTAGACCCTTTACCCAACCCCCTTCTCTGGCCACCCAAAGTTACTTTAGTATTTAAGATCCACCTTGGCCCTCATTCAGAGGCTGAGAATCTCACGCTCAAAAGTCTGAGAACCTCTCCTGCCCGCTCGTCTTTACGGGCGTCACCCGGCCTATATGTTTTACCACCAATAAACTTTTCCTCTGGCTGAAGAAGATTTGAGTTGAATTCTTTAAGGCAGGGCCCGGTACCGCGATCTTGGGGTCCCAGGCACCCCAAACCCCTAGACCTCTTCAGTACCGGGCCCTGCTGAATGAATTCAACTCAAATCTTCTTCAGCCAGAGGAAAAGTTTATTAGTGATAAATCACAGAGGCCAGGTGACGCCCATAAGGACGGGCAGGCATGAGAAAGGCTCAGCTTTTGGGGCACGAGAGATTCTCAGCCGGGTGACGCCCGTAAAGACGAGTGGGCAGGAGAGGTTCTCAGCCTTTTGAGCGTGAGATTCTCAGCCTCTGAATGAGGGCCAAGGTGGATCTTAAATACTGAAGTAACTTTAGGTGGCCAGAGAAGGGGGTTGGGAAAAGGGTCTAGGTAAGAATTCTAACTGAGGAGGTCAGAGAGATTGAATAGACAATGGGAATAGATAATGGAGGGAACAGGAAAGCAGAAGTTTGAAAGGCATCTGCACAAAATCAAGGTGGGGCTAGGACTTTCAAAAGGAGATAAAGAAAGGCCTTTCTGGGGCCTATAGACAAGAGGGAGCCTAAGGCTTTCAAAGGGAAATGAGGGGAATCGATTAGGAAATTTGAAGGTTTACGGGTTTTCTGGGTCCTGTAGACAAACAGGAGCCAGATTCTATTCAGGGCAAGGGTTGAAGGTGCATCTGAATGAGATCTAAAGGTAAGCTAGGGCTTTCTAGGGAGATGAGGGTCTGGGGCCTGTGAGTCAGATTCCCTTTGGGGCAAAGGGCGAAGATCTTGGCTTGGGCTCTGCCCCCATCACAGGCACTGGGGTTGACTCAGTCCTGTCCAACAGGGTTTTTTGTTGGCAAAGATACTGGAGTGGTTTGCTATTTCCTTTTCCAGCTCATTTTGCAGATGAGGAAACTGAGGCAAACAGGGTTAAGTGACTTTCCCAGGGTCACACAGCTAGTGTCTGTGGCCCAACTTGAATTCATGAAGATGCGTCTTCCTGACTTCAAACCCAGTGCTCTGTGCACTGAGCCACCTAGCTGCCCTGCAGGCACTGTACTGAGCGCTTTATTTTACTATGTTATATCAGGCTTGGGTGGGAGTCACAGCTAAATCACTGGGTGACCTTAATCAAATCACTTCCTGCACCCCTTCCTCTGTTTCCTTTGTATAAATGGGAAAGCTAATCAATTTGAAGTTCAAGGCCTGCTATGTGTTAGGCCCAGGGGATACCATGAAATATTGTGACAATGGTAGTGTAAAGTAGGATTGTTTTTTCCCCACGCTAAGTAGCCGCTGGTTTGATGCTGCTTTAGTTTTTGTGTCTGCTTTCTTATATGTTTCTCCTTGCCTGTATCTGGTATAATTTCTGGCTGTTGTTGATGTATCTGTTTCTGTTAGTCCCTCTCCACCCTTCTAATTTGCTTCTGGCTGGGAAACCAGATTTTCAAGCTTGTTGGAATAGTGGGCAAAAATCATTCATCCTATTCTGAGTGAGGGTCTGAGGGGGCCCTCATGTGGCCAAAGGCATGAGCTTTGGTGCCTAGACTTTGGAACAGCTTCTTGGCTCCTGAGACCATTTCCTTCTTTTCTCATTCTTAGAGCAGATAAATGACACCCTGCCACCACTCCCCTCCCCCATTCTCCATTCCTGGATTGTTCTAGTTCCTTGATTCTGTTTCCCATCCCCCTCCGCCTCACCTGGCTTCTTCACTTCCCACCTCATCCCCCAGCTTCTCCCTTTTCTTCTTCTCTCTTCTTTTCCCATCTTCCCCAGTTGTTTCCCCACCCCATACCCTGAACCTCCCTAATCCTTACATCTCCCTGAATCTGCACTTCTTTTGTTCCTGCTTCCTTTTCTCTCAGGCTCTTCCAGCTTCAGTTCCCCTGTTTTCCTCTCTGTGCCATATTCTCCCTGTCTCCTCCAAATTATACTTCTCAACCCCTCACTTCCCCCTTTCATTTCTCATTTCTTCAGACTTCTATCTTCATCTATCCTCTGCTCTTTTCGTCTCTGTTTCTCTCTCACCCTCCCATCCCACTTCTCTCACCCCTCCCTACCTTCACTCTTATCTCCACACCTTACTCTGGGGGAATCCCCCCTTCCTATTTGTATGCCAGGCTTTTGGTTCCTCAAAAGCCTCTTGGTGTAGTTCTATACTGGAGCTATTTCCTTGAATAAATGTTAACCCTGCTGATTATTATATATACCCAAATTAACCGCAAAGATACTGTTATACCGAGAAATGAGCGAGTTGACCACCCAAGCTAATTTTAAATTGTGGACTTTATTAGCGCGCGGCTGCCAGGGATATTTCACATCCAAATCAAGCAGCCCCCATCAGGGGTTGAGCTAGGGTTTATATAGGGAGTATACAGGACAGGGAGGGGGATGGATCTTTGAAGTCTGGCTGGTCAAGGACACCCTTCTCCTTCTGTGTAGATATGATAATGCTCTGCAAACTTTCCTGAGCAGCCAGATAAGGGTCTCGCTGAGGAATTTGGAGTTTTCCAGAGATATGATCTGAGGGCTAGGACCTGAGCAGCCAGATAAGGATCTTGCTGAGGCCCATGCATGAATACTGCTAGGCACAGCGTCCTTGGGCTGGGGAGTGGTTGTTAGAGATAGTGTTTCTGAGACTAGGGAGGCATTTTGGGGCAAAAGTATAAGCACAAGCATCCGAGCACCCCATCATTACAGGTCAGGGATCACACAAACCAGACCAGGTGTCCTGGTTTCTGGTATAAACATAATTATCTAAAGCCATTGTATTGCAAGTTTTCTTATCCATTTGCTTTGGAGGTATGGGCTGTGCTTAAGCCATGCAGGAGTACATTTCACTATTGTTTAGATTTAGGAGGAAAGAGGTCTGGGGCAAGATTAAGCAGCATCTTCTGCTTTCCATTGCCTCAAGGGCCCTACTACCTAAATGGTAAAATAATGTTCTGCATTACAATACTATGAAATAAGCTGCTGTTTGAATCCAGAAAAAGAACTGACATATATATGTATATATGTGCATATGTATATATATGTATATGTATGTGTGTATGAGTATATGTGTGTGTATATATGTACATGTATGTGTATATAAGTATACGTGTGTGTACACCACACATATACACACATTTGTGCCTAATGGTAGCCATCTCAAAGTTTCGGGTGGGGGGAAGGGGAAAAAACAAAGAAAGTCACATGATAACTGAAAAAAAGAACAAAACCAGCAAACCCGCACCCGGCTGGAGCAGCAGCATATCTGTGACTCTGACCTTAGACAATGGGTAGTACTGGCCTGCTTCACAAACAGGGTAGGGCAGAATCAGCGTTCCCCAGGGTCACTATGGCTGAGTCCCTGAATCAAATCAGAGAGCTGGAGAAGAGTCTTCGTTTGATCTAGGGGAAAGGGGGTGGGGGGAAATGTGGCATAGGTTACTACTTACTCATCTGCAGAAGAAGGGGCTGGGCATTCTGATGAAGAGCCTGGGTCCTAAAGGACCAGCCTGGGAAAAACATCCAAACTAGTCTAGGAACAGACTCAGGCCATTCTTGGTCTGAGATTGGAGATCAAGCTTGGAGTTACCTGAGAGTTGTTTTTATTTTTTTTTAAACAAGGCACCTTTAAAACAAAACAAAACAAAACATAGGCTACCTTTTATTTTTTTAAAGGAGGCTACTTTTTTTTAAAACTAGGCTACCTTAAAAAAAAAGACAGGCTGTCTTATTTTTAAAAATTAATTTAGTTTTAGTTTGCAACATTTCCCTTTTATTTTTTAAAGGAAGCCACTTTTCTTTTAAGGGAGGCTATATAATTTTTTTTTATAGACAGGCTACTTTTTTTTTCTTGAGGTAGAGGTGGAACTAAGGATGACTGTCAGGAGCAGGAGCCAGTGGGGAGAGAACACTTTTCCCTGGGGTCTGATAAGAGAGAAGGAAACCTGTCTCCTCCCAGTACATGTGCACTTGCTCTGTCTCTCTCTTTCCCTCTTCAGGTCAAAATGTCCAAGCAGGTTCAGGCTCGAAGACTGGAAGGCATTGACAAGAACCCTTGGTGAGTCAGCGAGGAACAGTGTGCGTCTAGGGTGTGGGGGGGAAGGAAAGGGGGGGCTGGGGGGGCCACAAAAGAACTGACCAGAACCTTTGGTGATCTAGGACAAAAGGAAGTGTGAACTAGGAAGGATGGGTGCTGGGATGGCACATGTGGCAGGGATTTCAGTGAGAGCCTGCCTTACAAAGACACTTGTTCTTATGCCTTTATTGAGGGGAAAATAACTAAACCTATTTAGTTGGAGGTAGGGGGAAGGGGAATGAGGACCTTAAGCCCGGGGATTTCCAAGCTTTCAGCCTACACAAAAGTGTGATTAGATTTGTCCATCCTACCCTCCCCACTCCACTCTTCCCTTGGTGAGAATGATTTGCAGCCCAGACTCTCTGGCCTGGGAGAGGGAGCAGTCTGTTCCCTCGGTGGATCTCCCAGGTCAGGGAAACAGGTTTTCTGAGGACTGGATTGGTGGAGAAGAATCCATACCTGGCCCTGAGGCATGGGAGGGGTGGGTGGCGTGAGTAGGTCTTTGTGAATTGTTCTGATTTGCTAATGGTCTCCTGTCATTCCTTCTGCACTATGCCAGATGCATAGGGATGTACAAAGATGCCTGAGATTGTATCAGTCCTTAGCAAGTCACTTAACCTCTGTCTGCCTCAGTTCCTCAACAGTAAAAAGGGGTTCATAATAACACTCGCCTCCCTGGTGGTTGGGAGGATCAAATGGTAGGTGTCTAATTAATGCTCGTTCCCTTTCCCCTTTCCTCTTAGAACTTAACAACATAGAAGATACCAATACTAGTAATAGCTAATAATGGCTAACATTAACATAGCCCTTACTGTGTGCCAGGCATTGTGCTAGGTGCTTTAGTGTTTTACACTATGTAAGCAGTGACTTGAGGACAGAACAAAAAAGAATCGGAACATGAAAAGGTTACCTCAGTCAGTAAATGAGCATTTTATGTGACAGGAATTTACTACGTTCTAGGCGCTGTGCCAAGCTCTGGGAGTACAGAGAAAAGCAAAAACAATCTATTAAAACAACAACAACAAGGATCTATAAAAAACTACATACAAATATAATTGTATGTATATAGGAGATAAACTGGAGGTAATCTAGGCTTTTTACAGAAAGTGAAATTTTAGCGAAGACTTGAAGGAAATCAAGAGGTGGAAATGAGGAGAAAGAGCATTCCAGGTGTGGGAGACAGCCAGTGAAAATGCACAGGGTTTTTAAAGGGGAAGGGAGGGAGGGTAGCTAGGTGGCGCAGTGGTACTGGCCCTGGAGTCAGGAGGACCCAAGTTCAAATCTGGCCTCAGACATTTGACTTACTAGCTGTGTGACCCTGGGCGGGTCAACTGCCTCCCAAAAAACAAAAAAAGAAAATGCACAGAGTTGGGAGATAGGTACAGCAAGGAGATCAATGTCACTGGATCATGGAGTATGTAGAGGGGAATCAAGTGTAAGTTTATAATAATAACAAGTTTGCAAATGGCTTTATAAATATTTCATTTCATCCTCATAACAATCCTGGGAGGTAGGTGGTGTTATTATTATTTCTGTTTTACAGATGAGGAAACTGTGACAAACCAAAGTTAAGTGACTTACCCAGGGTCACATGGCTAGTTTGAGGCTGAATTTGAACTGAGGTCTTCCTGACTCCAGGCCCAGGACTGTCTAATGTGCCACCTATCTTTGATGAATGGACAGGCAGAAAAGGAACCAGGTTATCAGCAAAACTTTTATTAAGCTGGCTCTGAAGCCAGAAAGGCTTGGGTTCGAGTCCTGCCTTTGAGGCATCCTTGCTTTGTGACCCTGGGCAGGTCACCTAAGCCCTCGGTGTTCTAAACAGAGAAAGGCCTGACCTGTATTGGTAGAGGGTTATTTTCTCAACGGGGAGTTCCCTACGCTAACAAAATTACCAGTCCAGTTGCTCTCTCTGTATACAGAGTCCTTCTGAGGACACATCAAGTGCCTCTTGGCCCAGCTCCTTGCTTCTCCTCAAGGGTAGTAATGGGCATGGACAGGATGTGGGGAGCAGTGAGGTCTCCTCTGTTCCATGACCACTGTACTGTAGTGGCTCAGGAACATTTGTTTCCTGAGGACTTTTGATAGAAACCTCACTACAGAGCCCTGCAGGCAATGAAAGAGGACTTCCTAGAGGTGGGAGGACAGAGGAGGGAGAAAAGGGCTGGCTGAGAGCCCAGAGGTGAGTAACAAAAGACAGGAGCTCAGGAACCTAGCAATGCGATCCTCAGCAAACCACCTCTCTGCACCTCAGTTTACTCATCTATAAAATGGGAGTGTTGGACTTGTAAGGTCCCTTTCAGCTGATCCTATGACCCAGTTCTGTGCCTTGGCTTCATTCTAGGATGAACCTTTGGGGCCTTGGAGCAGATCATATGCCAGGTTCCCCCACCTGTCCATGCCCATGGACAGGGAGAGGTGTGCTGGTCCCTGTTCCCTAATTCTCTTTTTCCTGGTTTTCCACTCCCACCCTAGGGTGGAGTTTGTGAAGTTGGCCAACGAGAATGAGGCTGTGAACTTGGGCCAGGGCTTCCCTGATTTTGCACCTCCAGAGTTCTCCACGGAAGCATTCAAACAGGCTGTCAGCGGAGACTTCATGCTCAATCAGTACACACGTGGTTTTGTGCGTCCCCCTCTCCCTTTCCCTGCTCAGTCTCCTCTTCCTTGGTCCATTCCTGAACCACCCCCCCACCTAACCTGAACACAATGACCAGACTTAACTCATAACCTTTCTGCATTCTTATCCTTCCCCTAAGAATGTAGAGATTTGAGCCCAGACAAAAAGGGATGAAAGGGAAAACTCTAGCTTACCCTGGGAGACAGTCTGGTGATCTTTGACCTTGGCAGGCCCTCTCGATTCCCTCTACAGGGCTACCCTCCCCTGGTAAAGATCCTGGCTCAATTCTTTGGGAAACTTCTGGAACAAGACTTGGATCCCCTAAAGAATGTACTGGTGACAGTGGGTGCCTATGGGGCCCTCTTTTATTCTTTCCAGGCCCTAGTGGATGAAGGAGATGAGGTGAGATGTGGAAACAGTGGGGAAATAGAGGTCTGAGGGTAGGGGGTTCCATATAGAGCCAGTGTCTAGTTCTAATGGTGACTCCCCTTCCTTCAATCGGTCCCCAGGTCATTCTCATTGAACCCTATTTTGACTGCTACGAGCCCATGACAAAGATGGCTGGTGGCTGTCCTGTGTTTGTGCCACTACGACCGGTGAGAATTTCAAGGGACCCTAGGCAGGGTGGGGTTCAAGGACCAGATCCTAGGAAGTGAGTGTCACTGAATCCTATCCCATTTAGGGACTAGGAGATGGGGGTACATGGGAGGAAGGAAGAGGGTTAAAAAAAAAAGAAGGTGGGACCTGGGAAGTATCAGGGCAGGAGGAAGACTAGCCTTGGAAATTGAAGGCAGTTCTGGCTTCTCTCTGGCTTCTTCTACTAGCCACCAGCCCATGACGGCCGGTTGATGTCCAGTGGTGACTGGCAGTTAGATCCAGCTGAGCTGGCCAGCAAGTTCACTCCCCGGACCAAAGCTATTGTCATCAATTCACCCAACAACCCTTTGGGCAAGGTAAATGTTATACTTTTCTTGGGAGGTCTGAGAAGAAATTCATCAGAACTTTCATTGTGGAAACTCCCTCCACCAATGACTATTAGCATTTCTAAGTTAAACTCTTAGGGATTTAACAGTGTCATACTAAGAGGTTAGGCAGTTTGTCCATGATCACACACAGCCTTTGTGTCAGAGCCAGAACTGGAACCCAGGCCTTACTAATGCCAGGACTAGCTAGCTTTCTGCCATTTATATAACACCTCAAGGTTTACAAAGTACTTTGCATTATATTCATTACCTCATCTGATGCTCCCAAGAACCCTGTGAGGTTGTGCAAGTATAAATCCTTATGTGATAGAAGAGGAAAATGGAAGTACAGAAAAGTGAAATGACCTTCTTGGGATCATATAGCTAAGAGAGCCGGGACTTAAACCCAGGTCTATTGACTTGAGTTCAGTGTTCTTTCTACTTTATTATAAATACTGTTTAGGACAGGCATAAAGTATCCCTCGATCATTCTCTCATTCTCCTTTGACTGGAGCTGGGTGTCTCCTACCCCTTCGAGTTCTGAGTTTGAATGCTGTTAGTGGTTCCCTCCTTCTCCCGGGGGCTAGGATGGGTCCCTGCTGGATAGTATTCTCTCATGGGCCTATTTTTTTCTCTTCTCTTCCCTCCCATCTTTTTCCCTATAGGTGTACAGCAGAGCAGAACTGGAATTAATAGCAAATCTGTGCAAAAAACACGATGTCCTGTGTTTCAGTGATGAGGTTTACCAGTGGCTGGTGTATGATGAAGAGAAACACATCAGCATAGGTATGCCACCCTTGGGCATGGCCCCTCCCTGAACAGAAGAGGACCTGACAGGACCAAGCACTAGCCAGTCCAGTCGATCAGGCATATAAATGATAATTTATTAAGTGCCAGACACTGGAGATAGAAAGAAAAGCAAATTGAACAAGCATTTTTTCGTGCCTTCTGTTGGTAAAGCATTGTGCCAAGTCCAGGGGGACAATACGGAGTTCAGATGAGATGTGGTCCCTGCCCTCATGGAACCCATGGACCAAGAATCCCACCTACAGCATCCTGAGCCAGTGGTCTTTCAGCCTTAGCTTGAAGACCTCCAGTGAGAGGAACACCAACACCTCTCAGGGTAGCCCACCTCATCTTGGAGTGACTTTAACCATTAGGAAGTTTTTCCTTATATCCTTTAAATCTTTTCGAAGATGTCATTGCTTCTGATTCTGCCCTCTGAGCCAAGCAAAACATATCTGATCCATCTTCCCTCTGTAGCCCTTCAAATAGTTGAAGACAGCTGTCATGGCCTCTATAGTCTTCACTTCTCCTAGGCTAAACATCTTCAGTTCTTACCTCTCCCTTCCTTCTGCACCTAGTTTACTTCACTTTCTCATCCCTTAAATATTGTTTATGTCTTTCCCTCAAATTCACTTTATGCCCATACCCTCTTTCTATGTACAGTCCTTCTAGCTGTACTATTAGTGGTACAGTTTTTTAAAACTACAAGTATCATCTTCCCATGTAGGGATGTAAACAGTTCAGCCCTATTGAATCCCTTGTTTTCTTTTCCCTTTCTACCTTTTTGGGCTTCTCTTGGGTCTTGGTATCGGAGACCAAATTCTTTGTTCAGTTCTGGTCTTCTTATGAAAGCTTGAAATCCTTCTATTTCATTGAATGAACATGTTTTTCCCCTTGAAATGTTATGCTTAATTTTGCCAGGTGGGTGATTCTTGGTTGTAGTCCTACCTCTTTTGCCTTCAAGAATATTCCTGTATAATCCTGATTGTGGGTTCCCAATATTTGAATTGTTTCTTTCTGGCCACTTGAAGTATTTTTTCCTTCACCTGGTAGTTCTGTAATTTGGCTATGATGTTCCTTGGAGTTTTTATCTAGGGATCTCTTTCCTAAGCTGATCGGTGGATTCTTTTAATGCCTATTTTGCTCTCTGGTTCCAGGACATCAGGGCAGTTTTCCTTGATAATTTCTTGAAAGATGCTGTCCAGGTCCTGCTTTTGATTGTGGCTTTTAGGTAGTCCAGTGATTCTGACATTGTCTCTCCTGGATCTATTTTCCAGGTCAGTTGTTTTTCCAATGAGGTATTTTACATTTTTCTTCTATTTTTTTCATTCTTTTGAATTTGAATGATTCTTGACATCTCATAGAGTCATTAGCTTCCACTTACCCAGTTTAACTTAAGAAGTTGTTTTCCTCAATTAGCTTCTGTACTTCCTTTTCCATTTGGCCAATTGTACTCTTTAAGGAGTTGTTTTCTTCAGTAGATTTTTGTATCTCTTTTTCCATTTGGCCAGTTCTACTTTTTAAGCAGTTTTTTTCTTTTTCCAGATTGTTGACTCTTTTTTCATAATTCTTTTGCATCACTCTCATTTCTTTTTCCAGTTTTTCTTCTGCCTCTCTTATATGATTTTTAAGCTCCCTTTTGAGCTATTCCATGAGTTCCTTCTGGACTTGAGACCACTTCCCATTTTTCTTTGGGGTTTTGCCCATAGGTGTTTTGACATTGTTGTCCTCTTCTGAGTTTGTGTCTTGATCTTCCCTGTTACATAATAACTTTCTCTGGTCAGATGCTCTTTTTTGTTATTTTTTGCTCATCTTTTTTGGCCTTTTTCCTTTCTCTTAAATTTGAGCTCTCTTCCCCAGATGGAAGGGGCACTATTTCAGGCTTCTTGTGCTGGCTGTTCACCTGGTGCTTTACTGATGTCACCCACCCTCTTGTCCGGTGCTGTGCTGAGGGGGTGGCTGGTGCTACTGAAAGCCTATAGGGGTCTGGCAGCTTAGCTGGTGCTGAGCTGGGATCTCCCATGGTGTGTTTGTATTTCCCCAGGGCTATACTGCTAGAGGCTGCCTCTTTGCCTGAGGCTTGTGCTGAAGCCTGTGGGGGTTCTCAGAGCTGGAGTCTGCCAGTTCCCCTGGCTATGTTGAGGCCTATGGGAGCGTCCTGGTGTTAGCGTTGGCTTGCTCCACCAAACTGGGGTTCAGGTTCTCCCGCTGGTTTGAGGTGGGGCTTGCTGTTGCCCTGCTAGGATGCTTCCTGTCCTGGACTGTACTCCCCTTTTACCTGAGTGAGACAACCTTTCTTGCCGATCTTCCAAGTTTCTTGGGCTAAAAGATTATCTCACCCTCTTTGCTGGTTCTGCTGTTCTCAAATTTGTTTTGGGGTGCTATTTTATGGTTGTTTGGAGGTGGATTTGGGAGAATTACTTTACTGCTTATTCCGCCATCTTGGCTCCCAAAAGCTATTGACACTTCTCATTCGTGAGCTTAAAACCTGTCTCTGAAACTTCTGTCTATTGGTCTTGCTCTCGAGGATCTAAGAGAACCAGTATAATCCCTCTCCAATGGGACAGTTCTTATAATTAAAGACAGCTGTGAGGTCCTCCCCTCTACTTTTCCCCTTCCCCAGGGTGTTTTTCAGGCTAAACACTCTCATTGCCTTTCATGGATCCTTATATAGCATTGATCTAAGGCCTACTATCAGTCTAGTTGCCCTGGCGAAAGGGAAATAAATTTGGCCTGCCATGACCTATGCTTAATGAAACCCTGCTGACTTTGAATGATCACTGCTTCCCTTTCTAAATGCCTCATAAACTACCTCTTTAATAATAAGTTCTAGAATTTTCCCTGGAATAGAAATCAGGCTTACTAGTCTATCATTTACCCACTCTGCCCCCTTTCCTTTTTTGAAAAAATGTGACAAGAGTTGCCCTTCTACAGTTCTTCAGCTCTTCTCCTGAGATCATTCAGAGATGGATGATGGCAGCTCAGGTCATTCTGTTGGTTAGTTCTTTGAGATCTTGTGCTTCCAGGCCTAGTGACGTGAACGTAGTGATGGCAGCTAGATGCTCAATCAGTAAATCTACAAGCATTTATGAAGGGCCTACTACGTACCAGGCGCTGTACTAGGTACTGAAGATACCAAGACACAAATGAATCAGCGCCTGTCCTCAGGGCGCTTACATTCTATTTGAGAGAGTCAACAGATATACACATATTAAGTATATACAAGATAAATACAAGGTAATTAGTGGGTGGGGGTGGCATTAGCAGCTAAGAATTGGGGGAATTGGGAAAGGCGTCATGTAAAAGAAGCTGTTTGAACTGAATTTTGAAGGAAACAAGGAGTTCTAAGAGAATGAAGTTAAGAGGGAGTGCCTTCCAGTCATGGAAATTGCCAGTGAAAAGGCAGAGATAGGAGTGAGTATCATGCCTGAAAAAATCCAGCAAGGTCAATATAGTGGGAGGGTAGAGTGCAGGAAGAGGAGTCTGGAAAGGTGGTTTGGGGACAGACTGGGAAGGGCACACAGAGGATCTTACATTTTACCCTAGAGGCAACAGGATTAGAGATTTAGAGCTGGGAGAAACCTGTAAGGTCAGATCTTCATTTCATAAATAAGAAGTTTGGGGCCTAGAGAAGTTAAGTGATATGCCCAGGATCACAGAGATAGGAAGTGGCAGAGCCAGGATCTGGACCTAGGTCCTCCGCCTCCTTACATTAGAATCTCCAGTTTGCCTTATTGCCCAGACTTTGTGCATTCACATATAGACATCTGTAGTTTTGAGCTTTGTTGGGGCTCCCTTCTTGGCTGTTGCCTTCTGTGGCTTCCCTGCCTGTTCCTACAGTGTACTGGTTACCCCCTCTGGCACCAGACTTGTCAGATCTATGTGGGACGTTTTCTCCCTCTCGCTCCTTTTTCCAGTTTAAAATCCTCTTGATTAGATTCATAAGATTCCCAAAAAGGATATTTTTATTGGTCCCTCCTAAGATACATTCCATTCCTGTCCAAGAGCCCATCATTCCTATATTTTTAGCAACAATGCAAAAATCCAAATCCCTCTCGCAGGCACTGTCTTTTTTAGCCAGCTGTTTACTTTTCAAATTTGCCTTTGTTTTCTGAATTTCTTACCATTCATTTGTGGTAATGATGAAAATATCACCTGTGACCCGAAGATCTTCTGGGTTTGGGGGAGGTCTTTTGCCCAGCACTTAATAATCCTTAGCAATTCTCTAGGTAGGTTCCTTTTAATGATAGCTGTTGTCCCCACAGGAATTACCAGAAATGAGTGGTGAACACTGTCTTTGACAATTCTTGGGAAAACAGCTGACCTCTCTGTTGTTAATGTCAGATTGTCCTCAGTACCCCCCAGCAGGGAGTTAGCAACAAACACTGTTCACCTTTTCTCCCTCTGACCATTACTGGATGGCCTCTTGTCTGATGGCACCAGAGGATCCACATTTTCCTTCATTCCTTGGAGGCCAAGATGGTCCAGCTGCAGTTAGCCCAGCTCCCCGACCTGCATGGGAAGAGCCTCATGCCTGTTCTACAGCTCCAAATATTCTTTTCTTCCTTCTTGGTGACATATTCCATAATCCTCCAGTCACCTGACAAGAGGCAAGAATTCCCCCTCTGCATTGCTACATCCATTTTGATCTTTATTTTCTCCTTGATGCATTTATTCTCATTTTATTCATTCATTCTTTCAATGAAGAATACATTCTCCTTAATAATCTGATGAGCAGAAGGGCTTCCTCCAGCCCTTTCACTTTCTCACATAGGACAGAGACCAACTTACACTTTGAGTATATTGATAAATATGCCCAATAGTCCTTTATCTTCTTTTGGATAGCTCTCTCATCTAACACTTATGACTGAGATCTGAGGTGATAAAGTGCCTCTCTGTGAAATGTAATTCTGATGAAGTCCACTCACTTGGTTTCACCATGTAACTGGTCTCTGGTTACATCCTTTTACTCCTCTGGATGCTAGGCTCTCTGTCCCTACTTGGAAAGGGGAAGGATATATTTGTTTAGCACACAGAAGCAGAAAAGACACAATTATGCAGAACAGAAGAACACAGGACAAAATAAAGTTATCTAATGAGAATTACCTACCTCATTTCACCTGGTTGATCTCCAAATACTTCCATCTACTGACCCTAACCCTGGCTGCTGCATCCTCTATCTACAGCTGGGTAGGTAGCAGGCTTAATTTATTTAGCAGAAAAAAACACAAAGACAACCATCTAGTGAGATCTGCCTCCCTTGTTTCACCTACCTGATGCTCTTCAGATTCCTTCCTCTACTTATATTGCTGATAGACTTCTTTTCCCCACTAAGAGGAAAGGGAGACTTGCTTATTTAGTGGACAGAACACAGGAATGTTAGATGAAATCCAATTATCTCATATGTTCTTCCCCCCTCATTTCACCTTGTTCTTGAGTTCCACCTATTTCACCTGGCTGCCATGGTTCTCTGCCTCTACTTGAAGGGCTAATTTACTTAGGCAATGATTTTTAAGATTTTTAAGGCATGAGGTAAAGTCCAGTTGTCTGTTTAGATCTTCCCACTTCATTTTGTCTTGGCACCACTCTCCATTTTCTTTTTCCTTATTTATCTGAGCAATAGGCTCTCTGTCCTTCTCCTAGCCTTTACTGTCTCCCCCAGTAGGAAGTGCCTGGGCCCCTGTGATGCTTCTGTGAGTGGTCATGGCTCATAGGGAATGTGCACATAGCTGGACTGATCCTATTAGAAGAGAGCCTGTGTAAGAAATGATGAAGAGGGGCTTGGTTTCAGAGAAACCCAGGAAGACTTACATGAACTGATACAAAGACAAATGACTTTGAAAGAATTAGGGACTTTGACCAGAAGCATAAAATAAAATTTTAAGAGAAAAAGGGAGAGAGGGGAAGAGAGGGGGGGAAGGGAGAAAGAGGAGAGAGACAGAGAAAGGGAAATGGGGGAAGAGAGGGAGAGAAAGGAGTGAGAAGAGTGGAGAGAGAGTGCCAGCTTGTGCTGTGGGAGCCAGCAGATCCTTGGTGCCTTTGGTCTCTTGGCCTGCTGCAGCCCACTCTGTGGCACTTGACCACCCACCATGGAGTTTGTCCCAGTCCCCCCAACAGCCACTTTCTCTTCTCCTTGGCAGCCAGTCTTCCAGGAATGTGGGAACGCACACTGACTATTGGCAGTGCAGGAAAAACTTTTAGTGTCACTGGTTGGAAGGTAAGCCTAGGGAAAATATGGGGACCTGGAAAATTGGGGAGGAAGTCTGGTTGAGAGCAGGAGTGAAGATGTTTAAAAAAAAAGGTTTGGAGAGAATGGGGGTCAAGGGGAGAATCTAATCCTTTTCTTCCTCTGGTCCAGGTGGGCTGGGTTCTGGGCCCAGATTATCTTCTGAAGCATCTTCGGACTGTCCATCAGAATTGCTTGTATCACTGCCCCACACAGCCCAGGTGAGGGATTAGGACTCCTTTTTTTCATGAGGTGTCCTGGAATTTGGGGCAGAGACTCTGGAGATTCTAAAAGACTACTATCTCTGGACAGACCTTGGGATGGACTCCCTCCTCCCCATTCTCACCTCCACTCCTGCACTGGAGAAAATGGTCACTATGAAGGGTGAGAAAGCAGCACGTGTACAGAGGAAGGGGTGACCTCAGGAAAAACTGATGGATCAGGGGGCCACTATAGCTAGAGTTAACTAATTCTAGCAAAGCATTTGACAGTCTCTTAGTCTAATTTGTGAATAAGGCGGAGGGATGTGGGGTTAGGCTAATAATAGCACAGGAAGTGGATTTAGAATGGTTGAATGTCCAAGCCCAAAGAAGAATCACTTAGGTTCAGTGCAGTCTGAAAGGAGGGCTGTAGTGGAGTGTCAGAAGACTAGGCCATCGGGCCAGTGCTGTTAAACATTGTAATCACCACCTGGATAAAGGCCTGGCTGGCAGACTTATCAGAATATAGGTGACACAAAGCTAAGAGGGATAACTGAGTTTGGATATCAAATTCTGATGTCAGAATAGCCTTAGCAGAGTACAGTGAAATTTAGTAGGTGTAAATTTAAAATCTTACATAGGTTTAAAACCTCAGAATCATAGATATAATTTAGAAAAGCGTGGCTAGATAGCGGCTTGTCTAAAGAAAATGAGCTGGGGATTTTAATGGACCAGAAACTCATTATTAGTTAACAGGTGACACAGTGGATAGAGTACCTGGAGTCAGGAAGACTCCTCTTTCTGAGTTCAAATCTGGCTTCAGACACTTATTAGCTGTGTGATCCTGGGCAAGTCACTTAACCTTGTTTGCCTCAGTTTTCTCATCTGTAAAATGAGCTAGAGAAAGAAACGGCAAACCACTTTACATCTTTGCCAAGAAAATCCTCAATGGGTTCATGAATGAACAATAACAAAATCTGTCATGTGTGATTTTAGGCTAAGAGTTGCATATTATCCAGGATTAGGGAAGTGACAGCCCTATTGTACAGTGCCCTGGCTAAACCATATTTGAAATATTATGTTCAGTTCTGGGTACCACATCTTAGGAAAGATGTGGACAAAATGGAAAGCATCCAAAAGGTGACCAGGATGGTGTGAGGGCGTGCAGAGTTGGCCCGGAGCCAGGTCTAATCTTGAGGACTGGTTGTTAAATTTTTTAAGTGTGAGCATTTATACCTCAGAAATCAGCAATCATTGCAAATCACATTTTTGTTTTTTGTTTTGTTTTGTTTGACTGTCTAGACTTAAAGTGTTAATGATGTAGATTAAACTTATGTGTGTACGTGCATGCATTTTTTCCCCCAGAGGGCCCAGTTATTAAACGTTTACCAGCATACTCCTAGGCTCTTGCCTAGTATAGTATTTACTAGTATAGTAAATGATGAGCTGAAAAGTAAGGATCTGCTGGAGGAACTAGAAATGTTTAGCTTGGAGAAGCCTTTAAAGAGGACTTGATAACTGTATTTAAGTATCTGAAGGGTTCCCATGGGGAAGAGAGGTTGGCCTTGTTCTGTTAGGCCCGAGAAGACCAAACTAAGAGTCACTAGTAGAAGTTGAAAGGAGACAGAGTTAGCCTAGTTGCTAGAGTTAGCCTTGCCCAACCTAGGTACTAGACACTGGATAGTACAAAGAATCATGGTATTGACCCAGTTATCAGTCAGCCATTATTAAAAACCACACTTCTAAAATCCATTCTTCACAGTTCTGCCAGAGTAATCATCCTCAGGCACGGGTCTGATCTGGTCACTTTCTTCCTGTTCTGAAACATTCAATGACTCCCTAGTACTATTAATGTAAAATGCCAGCCTCTCAGCCTGGCATCTAAGAGTCTTCACACTGAGCTTCAACCTGGCTGGCAGGCCTTATTTCACATGCATTCTGTGTTCCAGCTGACCTGGATGATTCACTGTTTTCAGTAACCACTACGTGCCTCCTGCTCCTTACATTTCGTCCCCTGTTCTCCACTTTCAGAATTCTTATGTTCCACGCTTAACTCAGGTTCAGGCTCCAACATAAACCCTTTCCTGACTATTCCCCTCTTCTCCCCAACTAAAAGTATTCTCTCTCTTCTCAGCTTTTCCCAGCTGCACACTTTTTTATGAACATCTTTTTTACACCATACTATAATACAGTCAGAATATGATTATGTGCCAGAGGGGGAGTTCAGACGAAAGAGAGTTCACCATAAGTCAAAATGGTCATAAGATCTAAATAACTGAAGTAGTATTTACTGTTTGTGTGTAGGTAAAGTCAGTATTTTTAAAATGACCATTTTACATAACTAATCTACATAATGCCATCGCAATTAAATTACTAAAAATTATCTTACTGAGTTAAAAAAAATAATAACAAAGTTTATTTGGAAGAACAAAGGTTCAGAAACTTCAGAGAGACCGGGGAGGAAAGATGTAAAGGAAACAGATTCAATAGCATCAGACCGTAAGCCATATTATAAGGTAAGAGCATTGTTGAGATGATCTCTTACACAAATGTGATCGGATTGCAATTTTGCTGTGGTATAGTAAATGATGAGCTGAAAAGCATGGAAATACTTGGCCTTTGAAGGAGGTTGCTGTCCACCTTCAGAGAAACAGATGAGAGGTGGGGAGATAAGCATGGTATAGACTAACATGTATCTGTATGAGTGTATGTGTGTGTGTGTATGTATGATTATAAATATATGTATATAAGTCTATATGTGTACACGTGTGTGTATCAGAGCTTAATTGTAGCCTGTAGAAGTACACAGCGGATGGGGCAGCTAGGTGGCACAGTGGATAGAGCAGCAGCCCTGGATTCAAGAGGACCTCAGTTCAAATCTGGCCTCAGACATATAATACTTACTAGCTGTGTGACCCTGGGCAAGTCACTTAACCCCGCTGCCTAATAAAAAAAAAGAAGTGCACAGCAGAGTACAAAAGAAAACCTATAAGGAAGCAAAGATGGACAGCTTTGAATACAATGAGTACTATTTACTATACAAGCTTTCTTGAAATGAGAATTTGTTGTTTTATATTGAATTCTCTCTTATGTTCTGCTGTGTACAAGGCAATGTTAGTTTTTTTCTTTTCTTATTTTGTATTTAAAAATTTGAAAAAGGAAAAATATTGAAAAAGAAAAAAAAACACAAAGTGGTCAGGGAAGGTTTCATGTAGGAAATGGGATTAGAATGTAAACTCTCTGGGAGTATGGATTGTTTCACTCTTTGTATTTGTAATGCCTGGCACATAGTAGGTGCTTAATAAATGTGTGATTGATTAGTAGGTCTGCCTAATGAGAGGGGCATTCCATTAAGGATGCAAAGATGCAGTGACATATTCAACAGATAGTAAATAGATCAGCCTGACTACAGTAGAGGACACACGAAAGGGGCAAACAATGAGAGCTAAAGCTGGAAAACTACATGGCTTGGAATGCTAGGATGAGAAGTTTATATTTTCTCCTTGGGATAGTGGGGAGCCATGGAAGGTGTTTGAGCAGGATACGTGACAAGATCATAGGATTATAAAACTTCAGAGCTGAAAGGAACCTTAGAAATATCCAATCTATTTATCTTACAGAGGAAGAAACTGAGGCTTAGAGCAAACCTTATTCAATTAGTTGGTGGGAGAAGCCCAATAAAAATGGGGTTCTAAGGAGATTAATTTAAATGCTTCTGTATGAGTGATTGGAAAGGGGAGATAATAGAGATGGAGAGATCAGTTAAGAGACTACTACAATAGTCCTGGTGAGAAGGTAGTAAGAGCCTGAACTAGGTTGAGGCTGATAGGGATAAAGATGACAAATGTAATAATAATAACTCACAATTACATAGCAGTCTAAGATTTACAAAGTATTTTACTCACAACAAACAAACCTGTGAAGTGGGTAGTACTGTTATCTATTTGACAGTTCAGGCCCAGAGAGGGTAAGGGACTTAACCTGGCTCACAGCTAAGTGACACTGCAAATGAGGACTAGGTCTAGTTAGGAGGGAAGGGGACATATCCTAGGTGAAGAGAAGGTTATGCTTGGGCTCCTGGGATTCTTGACAGCATCCTGGATAGCCCCTCTCCTACTCTTTCCCCCATGTTCCAGGAAGCTGTATCTTCTAGTTTTGAGCGGGAGCTTCGGTTCTTTGGCCAGCCTGAGAGCTACTTTGTCCAGCTGCATAAGGATATTCAGAAAAAGCGGGATCACATGGTGAACAGCTTGCTGACCATTGGCATGACCCCCGTCGTCCCTCAGGGCACCTACTTCCTCATTGCAGACATCTCCACCTTCAGTGAGGCTGGGGGAAGGGGGTACAGTGTGGTTGGGAAGAGGGGAGAGGAGAAAGGGAACATTCTGGGAATTAATCAAGGGCCTTCATGTGGTTCTGCCATGTCACACAGAGAAAAAGATGCCCCACCTCCCTGGCTCAGAGGGAGAGGCCTATGACTCTCGATTTATCAAGTGGATGATCAAGAACAAGGTGAGTCCCAGAGGGTTGCAAACATGACTCTGCCCATCCTCCCAAGCCCTCTCCCTCCTTCCCTCCCACTCCCTGCCTCCCTCCCTCTCTCTCTCTCTCTTTCTCTCTCTCTCTCCCTCTCCCTCCCTTCCTCTCTCTCCCCCCTCCTCCCACCTCTCTTTCCCCCCTTCTCTCCCCCTGTCTCCCCCTGTCTGTCTCTGTCTCTCTCAGCTTGGATCAGATAAGACTCCTTTCAGCCCTGACCAACTGTGATGTTGTGGCTCTGGATTCCTGAACCACGAGCAGCAACTGGTCAGAAATGAACTTTGATCCTATCCTTTCTCCTTCCCCCTCCCCCACACCCCAGAAATTCTTAGAACTTCTTCCTTTCCCTGGGCTGGGACTTGGTTTTTTCTCCTCTCTAGGGCTTGGCAGCCATTCCGGTTTCAGTGTTCTACAGCTCACAGCAGAAGCAGCATCTTGACCACTACATCCGGTTCTGCTTTATAAAGGTGAGTGTGTGCATGCTGGGGAATAGTGAGGAACCAAGAAATGGAATAAGGAGTGGTTTCTTTACAAGGCCCCAGCTGTAGCTTCCTTCCCCTCTTAACTTCAGAGGGAATTTTTTTTTTCTGTCACATCTAGGGGTCCAAATTCATGCCAAAGACTAGCATTCAATGCCTCAGTGACATGCCTGGGATATAGAAATGGTGGGCAGGTGCCTGACCCATCATCTCCATAAACCTGTTCCTTCTTTCCTGTCCAGCACCACTACTCCTATGTGGTTATTGCTACCTCACCCCTCCCTTCACAAAAATACCTATCTTACCTTGGCATGGCCATGGATTCTTGTCCACCATCACTGCACCTGGCATCAAGGGTACACCCCCAGGACTGGAGAGGGGCAAAGAGGGCTCCAAGACAATAAGAGGAGGCTTGTTGCTGGCTCCTGGGCTAAGCAAGTTGATTTCAATCTCTGTTTAGAATGACTCCACTTTCAAGGCCATGGATGACAAGCTACAGCAGTGGAAAAAAGAGCTAGAGGCCTGATTTCTGCACCAGGATCTCCCCCATTCCTCTTCCAGCTCACTTTACTTGATTGGACCCTTCCCTCTCTCCCCACCCTCCTTTGTGCTTCAGGCATTCCCAGATTTGGTGGAGGGAGAAGGGAAAATCCTTAACTAGGGCTCAAGTCAGAGAGGGAAGGGATGAAAAAAGAACACAGCCACCCCATCTTTCTCCATTGCCCCACCTACTGAACCTCAGTGAAAGTCTGCTCTCCCTTTGATTGTGGGATTTGGGGACCCAGGAACCCTCACCTACCCAGCACCCACATTCCCATCCCTGCGAGAGAAAACATTCAGCTTGGTTAGCATCAGGGTGTTTTCCCTCTGCCAGGGCTCTCCCTAGAAAGTCCTTCCCTCCTTTATCACTTCCTCTTCTCCCTGCTGAGTCATAAAGTGGGATTTCCCTCCTCGCTCTGAAGACCTGAATCAGCCACCCCAACTGACACATGGATGCCAGCCAGGCCAGAAGTCACCTGAGGTTTACAAGGATACCTGACATCTTGCTTTCATCCCTCCATGGTCTCACATTGCTATAATTTATCTTGGTTCTTCCTCTCCTACTCTTATTTTTAAGGGGCTGGTCAACATCCCAAGGGTCAACGGTCAGGCTGCCTTGCATAGCCGGCCAGTCCTTGGAAGCATCTCTTTAGGCTTAAATCAAGAGTGTTTGCCTCAAGTCAAGAGCCATATTTTGCCCTTAATAAAGTTTATTGCATCCTACATAGACTGTTGTTCTCTCCTCAAAATCCCTCCGCTCCTAAGTGGTTATTTCTCACCTCTGCCCTATAAAATATTTAGCCTTCTTCAAAGCTCATCTCAAATACCACTTCCTCAACTCAAAAATCTTCAGTGGTTCCCCACTGCTCTAGAAAACTAGTATACAAACTTGTATATATATATAATTTTTCTCCAATTACATGTAAAGACTTTTTAATTGAGTTCCAAGTTTTCTTCCTCCTCCCTGAGATGGTAAGCAATTTTACATAGGTTATACATGTGCAATCATAAAAAAAATTTCCATATCAGTCACGTTGTGAAAGACGACAGACAAAAAGGGGAGAAAAGTGAAAAATAGTGTGCTTTGATCTGCATTCAGACACCTTGTCTTGGATTGTATTTCTGAGAATAGCTCAGTTATTCACAGCTGATCATACAACATTGCTGTAACTGTGTACAGTGTTCTGGTTTTGCTCACTTCACTTTGCATCAGTTTGTCTTTCCAGGTTTTTCTGAAATCTGCCTGCTCATTTCTTATAGCACAATAGTATTCCATTATGTTCATATACCACAACTTGTTCAGCCATTTCCCAATTGATGGGCATCCCCTCAATTTTCAATTCTTTGGCACCACAAAAAGAATTGCTACAAATATATTTGTGGGTCATTTCCCTTTTTTTATGATCACTTTTGGATACAGATCTAGTAGTGATATTGTTGGATCAAAGGGTATGTACAGTTTGATTGTCCTTTGGGCGTAGTTCAGTTCACAGCTCCACCTTAGTGCCCCAGTTATCCTCCTCCAACTTTTACCATCTTTCTCTTCTGTCATGTTAACCAATCTGACAGATGTGAGGTGGTATCTGAGAGTTGTTTTAATTTGCATTTCTCTACTCAGTGATTTTGAGCATTTTTCATAATGATTATAGATAGCTTTAATTTCTTCATCTGAAAACTGCCTGTTTATATCCTCTGACCACTTATCAATCGGGGAATGATTTGTATTCTTATAAATTTGACTTACTTCTCTATATATTTGAGAAATGAGGTCTTTTATCACAGACAGTTGTAAAAATTATTTTCCAGCTTTTTACTTTCCTTCTAATTTTGGTTGCATTGTTTTTGTTATCGTGCAAAACCTTTTTAATTTAATATAATCAAAATTATCCATTTTACAACTCATAATGCTTTCTATCTCTTGTATGGTCATAAATTCTTCCCTTCTCCATAGATCCGACAGGTAAACTCTTTCTTGCTCTCCTAATTTGTTTATGCTATCACCCCTCATGCCAAAATCACGCACCCATTTTGACCTTATCTTGGTATATGGTGTAAGATGTTGGTCTACACCTAGTTTCCACCATACTGTTTTCTAGCTTTCCCAGCAGTTCTTGTCACATAGTTCTTGTCCCAGAAGCTGGGATCTTTGGGTTTATCAAACCCTAGACTACTATTGTCATTTGTTAGTCTTGCGTACCTAATGGTTTCCACTAACCCACCACTCTTATTTCTTAACCTGTACCAGATTATTTTGATGATTACTGCCTTATAATATAGTTTGAAATCTTACACGGGTAGGCCACCTTCCTTCACATTTGGTTTTCATTAATTCTCTTGATGTTCTTGACCTTTTTTTCTTCCAGATGAACTCATCTTGGTATTTAAAGCCCTCCATGATCTAGCTTCAGCTGACCTACTTTATATATAGATAGATTAAGCCCCGTCACAAACGCTGTGTTCCAGCCAAACTAGCGCATTGGCTGTTCCCGTGAACTTGCCAAACCATCTCTCCCTTCTCCACCTTTACATGGACTGTCTTTGATGCCCAGAGTGCATTCCCTCCTCATCTCAGGTGCCGTCTTCTTTGGACAACCTTTACTGCTCTCCCTAGTTCTTAATGTCCTTTTCCCTCTGAAATTACACTGTGTATATACTTACCTGTGCACATGTTGTCTTCTTCCTGCCTCCCCGGCATGGCCAAAATCCTTCATTTTTGTCATTTTATCCTCGTGCCTACCACAGTCAGTCCCTTACACACAGTAGGTGATTAATCAGTGCTTATTGAATTGAACTGAATGTAAGGAGGAGACTCAGTACCTCCAGGCCAAAAGCTGAAACTAATCCATAAATAGTAATTGAGGATCAGCCCTAGCATCAAAGTCAAACCATACCTTCTGATATAGTAGAAAGAATACTGGATTCAGAGCCAGCTGATGCAGGGGAAATAAAACAAATCCACATAAATCAGCAGCATTCCTATATATAACCAATAAAACCCAGCAGGAAAAGCTAGTAAGAGAAATTACATTCAAAATTACTACAGAAGCTCTAAAATATTTGGCAGTGTTATCTACTAAGATTCACCTAGGGACTTTGTGAATCCAGCTATGAAACACTTAAAGACAGATGTAAGTAACTGGAGAAGCATTAATTGCTCATGGATCAGTCAAGCCAATATAATAAAAGTGACAATACTGCCCAAATTATTTATTCAGTGCTGTACCAAACTCCCAAAATAATATTTTATATGATGACCTAGAAAAAAATATTAAAAATTCATCTGGAGGAACAAAATCTCCAGTCTCAAAAGTAATAATGGGGGAAAAAAAGCAATAAAGAAGAGAATCTATCATCCCTAGATTTCAAACTGTACTACAACTGCAGTCAGTAAACATTTAAGTGCCTACTGTGCATCAGATACAGTGTTAACTATGGGATACACAGAAACACAAAAGGCAATCTCTGATTTCAAGGGATGTCTAATGGAGGAAATAATATGCAAACAACTGAACAAAAAGGTATTAAACGGATAAACTGGAGATAGGGGGATGAGGAAAGCCTTCCTGCAGAAGGGGGGATTTTAGCTGAGGCATGAAAGGACCCAGGGAAGCCAGGAGGCAAAGATGGGAGAACATTCCAAGCATGAGAGACAACCAGAGAACACGCCTGGAGTATCTTGTTGGAGGAATAGCAAAGAGGCCAGTGACATGGGATCAAGTGGGGGGGGCGAGGGTATGAGGTATAAGAAGGCTGGAATGGGCAGGAGGCAGGTTGTGAAGAGCTTTGAATGCCAGCCAGAATACAGTTATCCCTTCCACATCTTGGGGGTTGGGGTGAGGCACCCTCTCAATCTGGAAAATCTGTAAAATTGTTTGGCTTTCCCTTCATACCAGAGAAGTCTGAATTATTATGATATTACAAGATAAAATAAGTTGATATTATACAATACTATAGATATATTTTATGCATTTCTGAGTTTCTAAACCTTTTCTGTGTCATCTGCTGGCCTTTGAATGTCATCTACACAGGGGCAGCTAGGTGGCGCAATGGATAGAGCACCGGTCCTGAAGCCAAGAGGACCTGAGTTCAAATCTGACCTCAGACCAAACACTTGACACTTACTAGCTGTGTGACCCTGGGCAAGTCACTTAACCCCAATTGCCTTAAAAAAAAATGTCATCTGCGGCATCTGCAAAACTCTTCCAAAATTCTCATTTAATTTCTTATGCCAACCCTTGATATATATAAACCTTGATGGGGAAAGTCACAATGAGGATGGGATAACTATTTTACATCAGATCCTGATGGTGGTAAGAAGTCACTGGAGTTTTTTAAGTAGGGTGCTATAGAAAGATTACTCTTACAGCTAAGTGGAGGATGGACTGGAGTGAGGTGAGACTTATGATGGGATGCTAATCATCAGACTATGCAAATATTAAAGGAGTATCAAAATGATTTGTTACTGGTTAAAAAAAAAAAGGTGAGAGCTTGATCAGTGGCATAGATTAGGTGCACAACACACAGAATTAAATACACTAACAGAGTATATAAGCCCAAAGATCACAGTTACTAGGGGAAGATTCATTCACTATTGAACAAAAACTGGTGGGAAAGTAGACAGCAGCACGCTGGCAGAAATTAAATTTAGATCACCCCCTCATACCTTACACCAAGATAAGCTAAATGGACATGATCTAAATATGAAAGGTCACATCAGAAACAAATTAGTGGAGAAAAAAAGAAATTGCCTTTAAGATCTACAGATAGGGGAAGAGTTGGTAACTAAAGAAGTTGACAGAGAGGATCACACAAAATAAAATGGACAACTTCGATTACATAAACTTTTAACATTTTGGCACAAACAAATTTAACACAGTAAAACTTAAGGGGAAAACAGGCAACTGGGGAGGGGGAAATCTATGCAGCAAGTTTCTCTGATAAAGATTTCATATCCAGAACACGGAAGGAATTGATTCAAATTTATAAGTCTAAGAGCCATTCTCCAACAGTGGTCAGAGGGTATGAACAGGCAGTTTTCAAAGGCAGGCTAGCAACAATCATGAAAAAAAAATGCTCTAAACCACTAATAATTAGTGGAATGTAAATAGCAGCTTTGGGGTTCTACCTCACACCCATCAGACTGACAAAGATGGCAAACAAGGAAAAATGACAAATGTTGGAGGGGCTGTGGGAAAAACAGGTATACTCTAGTGCACAGTTGGCAGAGCTATGAATTAATTGGTCCAGCCATTCTTCAAAGCAATTTAGATCTATGACCAAAAAGTTACTGAAATGATGAAATGAATAGTTTCAGAGGAAACTGGAAGGAAATGAGGTAGTGTGGAATCAACAATTTATATAATGACAACAACCTTATGGGAAAAAAAAACTTTGAAAGACTGCAAGAACCCTGAGTAATGCAATGATAAACCATGAATCCAAAAGAATAAAGATGAAACACGCCATTTGCCTCCTGACAAGGGTGATGAACTTAAAATGTACAAACATATATTTTCAGACATTTCCAATGTGTGAATTTGTTTCACAGGACTATGCCACTATATATTGAGGGCTTTGTTTTTTGCTTGTTTTTTTTTTTTAATCAATATGTGGGATGGGGAGGTTAGGGAAGTAAATAGCAGTGACAGATGAATAAATATTTTTAAAAGAACTAAGGTGGTAGGTTGAAGTAGCTCTGCCATGTTTTACTTGTGTGACCCTGGGCAAGTTACTTACCCACTGTTTGCCTCAGTTTCCTCATCTGTAAAATGGAGATAATAGAACCTACCTCCCAGTATGGTTGTGAGGATAAGTAAGGTAATAATTGTAAGTGCTATATAAATGTTAACTACTATTATTATTGTTGTTATTTCTGTTTTTGTGATACTGGGCAAGTCACTTAACCATGTTAGGTCCCAGTTTTCTCATCTGTAACATAAGGAGACTGGACTAGATGCCCTCCACAATTTCTTCCAGTTCTCAATCTATAATCCTGCAACCCCCAACTTAAATGGTCCCTCTGAAAGGGACTATTTTTTATTTTCTTAAATTAAAAATTTTTTTTTTTACTTTTTAGGCAAAAGTGACTTGCCCAGGGTCACACAGCTAGTGAATGTTATGTGTCTGAGGCCACATTTGAATTCAGGTCCTACTGACTTCAGGGTCTGTGCTCTATCCACTGTGCCACCTAATTGCCCCGAGGGACTATTTTTTAAAATAGGTTTTATATTATGAATTTAATCATCAACGAATACAAACATTTCAAAATAGAAATGTAATTGGAAAATATTTTAAACAATAAACATGGATAATATATGGTTTTCTAAGTCAATATGAGTTTCATGCATAAAGTTTTAACTCTTACAGAAACATAATAGTTTAATGACAGAAAATAAAGAGACTTACTATTTTCCTACCATCATTCCTTAGCATGTAAGAATCAAATGTTTTGAAAAATTTGTTACTGTCAACAAAAAGTATTTACTTGAATCTTATGAAACTTCTTATTTAATTGCAAAGATGAAAAAAGCCCTACATGATAGGAAATCTCATGTTACCTGCTGCTATTAAAATGTCAGAAATAGTTCATGGGAAAAAGAATAGAGATGAAATTCATAAAATTCCTTTATTGAATGATACTGTTTCCAAAAGAATTTCTGAAATTAGTAATGACCAATTCCAGCAGTTTATTACCAGGCTTAAGTGCAGCCCAAAGTTTGCAATTCAATTAGATGAAACAACTGATATTTCTAACATGACACAGTTCTTACTTTATGTAAGTTATGTTTATGAAGGAAGCATATATGAGGAATTGCTGTTTTGTCACCCTTTGGAAGAGCACACAAGAGAGGGGAAGATATATATCTTAAAGTTGATGAATTTTTCACAAATGAAGGTTTACAGTGGAAAAATTGTATTGAAGTCTGTACAGATGGTGCTGGAGCAATGATGGGCAAGAATGTAGGATTTGTAGCAAAAATTAAAGCTTGTGGCAATGAACATATATCACTTTTACTCACTGCATAATCGATCAGGAGGCACTCGTAGCCAAAAAAGATCATGAGAGTTAGACGTTGTGCCTCATGATACTAGCAAAATCACTAACTTCATTAAAAGCCATGCCTTTATCTAAGACTTCTCCAAAGGTCTCATGATAGAAAATGCTATCCACATCTAAAGAAAGAACTACGGAGTTTGAATGCAGATCAAAGCATACTATTTGCTGTTTTTTTCCTTCTGTTTTGTTTTGTTTCCTCTTTCTTGTGGTTCCTCCTATTGGTTCTAATTCTTCCTTACAACATCACTAATGTGAAAATATGTTTAATAGGAATGTATATGTAGAGCCTCTATCAGATTGTGCGCCGTTTTGGGGAGGGAGGTGGGAAGGGAAGAGAGAAAAATTTAAAACTCAAAAGCTTATGGAAGTGATTGTTGATAAATCAAAATAAATTAATAAAAAAAGTCATGCTTTTAACAATCGTTTGTTTTCAAACCTTTGGAAAGACATGGACTCCAATTACAAAAGTGTATTACTACATGTAGAGAAGTAAGGTGGCTCTCAAGAGGGTGAAGTTTAAACAGATTATTGAAACTGAAAGATGAAGCTGTTATATTTTTATGTAACTGACTAAGCAGAAATCCGATTTTGTCCATTTTTTCATAATGACTTACGCTTTCAAAACTGTTATTTGTCGGGTATTTTCAAAAAACTCAATGATTTAAACATGTCACTTCAAGGAAAAAATTGTAACATTTATGTTAAAAGATAAAATTGAAAGTTTTACTAGAAAAGTTAACATATGGAAGAACAGGGTGGGAAATGGTTATTTAGAAATGTTTACAGCTACATATGATTTTATAATTGAAAATAACCTTTAATTATAAGAGTTATAATTGATCATCTGAAGTTCCTGGAAACAACAGTTTCAGAAATACTTGCCTTCAAATTTTGATTCTAAGAAACTAGGTTGGGTTCATAAACCACACTCAGTTGAAATTTAAAAAATGGTCATCTGCCATTAAAAGTTCAAGAAGAATTTGCCAAGTTATCAACACAGATTTAAAACTTGAGTTTCCTAAAAAAATCATTAAATGAATTTTGGCTTGGGATTAGGACTGAATTTCCAACAATTTCTGAAATGGCCCTAAACATACTGCTGCCATTTTGTACTACATATTTATGTGTAGCAGCATCCTTAGTATTGATGATTATAAAATCAAAATACTGATCAACTCTGAAAAATGGTGAAGATGTTGCATGCAGTATCACATATTGTGCCAAGATTTAATTATTTATGTAAAAATAAATAGGCATATCCATCCCATTAGTATGCAAATGTCTTAAATAGATGGCAAAATTATATGTATACCAAAGAACTGTTTTAAAATAAATTTATGAGTTACTATCAGTAAATGTTTGATATGTATACCTATTTTATATACCTATATACCTGGGGTCGCATGTGGAAAAAGTTTAAGAAGCCCTGAACTATTAGGTGTCCCTTGGGGTTCTTTCCTGGGGCCTCTTCTCTTCTCCCTCTACACTACTTCACTTTGGGATCTCATCAGCTCCCGTGGATTTAATTACCATCTCTACACTGAAGATTCTCAGCATCTATATTTATTATCTATCCTGCTCTAATCTCTCAGCTGACCTCTAATCTCCCATCCAATCTGGAATCTCTAACTGCATTTCAGGCATCTTGAACCGGTCGTCCAGTAGACATCTTAAACTCAATATGTTCAAAACAGAACTTACTATCTTTCCCTCCAAACCCTTCTCCTCTCCTACCTTCCCTATTACTATAGAAGGCAACACTATCCTCCCAGGCCATCAGGATCTCAACCTAGAAGCCATCCTGGGTTCCTCCCCACCCCATATCCAAGCTAGTGCAAAGATCTGTCCACTTCACCTTTGTAACATCTCTCTTTTCTACTCTGACATTGCCACCGTGCAGGCACTCATCACCTCACACATGGATTATTGCACTAACCTGCTGGTCAGTCTGCCTGTCTTAAAACTCTCCCCAGTCAAATCCATTTTCCATTTGGCCACTAATGTGATTTTCTTAAAGTGCAGGTCCAATCATGTCACTCTCGCCCCACTACTCAAGAGGCTTCCTGTTGCTTCCAGGAACAAATACAAAATCCCCTTTGGAGTTCAAAACCCTTTATAACCTAGACCTCTCCTACCTTTTTAATTTTACACCTTACTCCCCAACACGCACTCTTTGATCCAGATCTAGTGACACTGGCCTCTTCAATGTTCTACAAGACACTCCATCTCTTAGCTCAAGACATTCTCTCTGGCTGTTCCCCAAGCATGAATGATGTCCCCCCTCCACTCTTGACTACTGACCTCTATGGCTTCCTTTAAGTCCCAACTAAAATCCCACCTTCTACAGGAAGCCTATCTTAACCTCTCAGTTCTAGTTAATTATTTCCTATTTATCCTGTATATAGCTTATTTTGTATAGATTTATTTGCATGTTGTCTCCCCCCTTAGATTGTAAGCTCCCTGAGGACAGGAACTGCTTTTTTGCCTCTTTTTTTGTATCTCCAGGGCTTACAGTGCCTGGCACTTAATAAATGTTTATTGATTGACTGAACACTGGCTCCCCTGCCCCTCTTTGTATCTTAGTCTAACACCATTGCCACAGAGGCTATTTATATATTTATTTATATTATACAGCTCTATGTGACCTGACCCTCAGATGCTTCTTTCCAAAGCTCCAGTCTAATAAGGTGATCTAGACCTATGCTTACCTTACCTAAACCCCAGCTCATGTTCTGACCCCCTCTCATCCTTTCTCCAACTGTCCCTCTGTTCCTTCATGCATGTGTAACACTCAAAAATGGAAAGCCCCACATAAACATTCACAAATGTTCCAGGTGTAGATTGGATCGGAAGACAGTGAAGAAAAGAAATCACTGGTCTGGCCACTCTCCTCAGTCCTTCTTGATTTCAACCCCTTCTATGTCTTAGTAAGTAGTCCTCCCCTGTTGCTCTATCTAAAAAGACTGACCACCAAGAAAACAACCTTGTTAATATATTGTGTATACTTAAAGGAGTCATTGCTTCATCTGCACTCACGCAGAAAGCAACCTTCAGACTTCACAGTCTGTCTTAATAATTGCTGTAGCTGCACACTGGCACCTGGTAGGTGACCCTAGGGTGATGGATGAGCCCCTCCAAACTTACTTGGGTAGGCCTGGAAAACAGTCATTGGGCTTTGACATGTCAGAATCTGTCAAAAAATTAGCCTGATCCCAGATCTCCAAACTTGCATTCTGCAGGGCAGGAGAACGTCATGAACTCATGGTCACAGCCTCACCAGGACGCAGCTTGGCAGGAAACCTAGCAGAAAAATAATACTTTTACATAGTGCAAAGTCCCAGCATTGCTCGAGCCAGAGTACGCTGGGAGTCATGAGACCTGGCTCCTAGTTAAGGCTCAAACACTAATTTCACCCTACGTAACCTTGGACAATTTGCTTCCCTTCTCGGGGCCTCGGCTGCCTCACCTGTGAAATGGGATGACAATCCGGGGTCTACTTCCACTGAGCTGGAAAGAGGAAGAAATGAGAAAAATCTGGACTCTGGGGTTTAATTCCGACCCTGCGCACAAACACAAAGGACAGTTATTCCGCAAGGCAGACAGGTGGTGATTTGGGGTGGGGACGCGGGCAAAGCCTGGACCTCCAGCTGGAGCAGCTCAGATCAGCTGGAACACAACAGGTAAGCCTATGGCTCCCTGCCATGTGGTCCTCCGACCCAGTGCGTCCCTACCCCCCCTCCTTTCCCCCCCAGCGCTTACCTTGAGCTCCCTGATTGGACGGCTGAATGAAAAGGGGGTGCGGTCTCCAGTGTTCGCCACTGATTGACTGGGGGGCGGGGCCACCGAGGCTCTGCGAGGAAGATGGCGGAGCTTGTGGGAAAGCGGCCCCGGGTCCAGGTGGGCTAGTGGGGCTGGCAGGATTCTGGGTTTCATGGGGCCGCACGGCCCATGGGAGGCGGCTCGCACTATAGAGGGTTTTCTAGCGGGCTTGCTTTCTTGAGGGCTGTAGATGACCCCCGGGGCCCACGTGTGGCCTTCCCGCGGCGGCGCGGAGCTGCCAGGGTGCAGGGGGCGATTTGCAGGAGGGGGTCCGGCTCAGCGTAGTGCAGGGCCGGGCGCGGTCCTGGCCGGGGTCACGGGGTTCGGGGTCCGGGGTCCGGGCTCGCTCCGGCCAGCATCCAGGCTTCGCTTCTGCCTGAGTGGAAGGGTGAATGGCGTGAAGGCCCAGTCATTGATCTGCTTCCTTTCCAGGGAGAAGTACGAAAAATCGAGTGGCGGAAATTGAAGAAAGAGAGTAAGGACCTCGAGGGCAGGAGTAATTCAGGGTGGTTGGTTTTTAATGTTTCTAATTAGTTTCTAGGCTTAGCGTCACTCTCATCACTCTCTTGGCATCCTGTAGAATGCTAGAACTTAAGAGCAGAAGAAACCTTAACGACATCTTAGTCTTAACCCTCATTTTACAGAGGAGAAAACTGAGGTTCTAGCAGGGGAAATGACCCCACCGAAGTTTCCCAACAAACTACAGTGGTCTTGCCCTTTTACCTTTTGATGGTATTTAACCTCTTTTTATTTTTTTTAAATTTTATTACTACCTTTTGGTTTTGCATCACCTTCTGTTCCAAATATTTCCCTCTTCGCTTCCTTCCCGTAAGAGCCATCCTTTGTAACAAAGAAAGAAAGCATTTCAGCAAAACTAACCAACCTAACCAGCCTGACAATGTATCACACCCATGGCCCCCCACCCACCCCCTTCTGCAGTAGATTAGTGGAAAACATTGACTAAGCTCTAAGTGTGCCAAGCAGTATGCTGATCACTGGGCCTATAAATACCAGTAAGCAAGATAAGTCCTGCTCTCAAGAAGATTCAGTCTAATTGGACAAGACCACACTGAGAGGGAGTGGTGAGCAGGGAGGAGTGCTTTGGAAGTGTTGATTAGATTACTGGTTTCAGTGTTAGAAAGATGGGCAGGGTATGCTTCAAGATGACTTGGAGTCAGGTCACGGTGAACATGCTAGGGCTAGTGGCGGCTGCTTTAGATTAATGTCATCAACTGGAAGCCCCAGGTCCCAGGGCCAGAGTCTGAAGTATGGGAGTATGGTCACAGGAAGATGGCTGTCTTTAATGGCTATGGAACAGTAGCCATCTAAAATATCTATGTAGCAATAGTTCTTAAAGCCCAGGAAGCAAAGGATGGGGAGAGGAGAAAGAGTGGGAATGGGGCCAAGCTAACTTAACCTTATAGAATACCTGATGTCTTTGTGTCTCCCATCTTCTTCTACGAGATGGATTAAGTAGCCAAATATTTATAGAAATTTGTGGGTGAATTAGGTTTTTAGATCTTTATTTTATAATTTCAGAAAACCTAAGTGTTAGATAAGTCATCTGGCATTTGCTTAGGGAATTTCATTCAGGCTTCATATGTTAGGTTTAACAAAACCATTGTGGGTTTGTTTAAAAAAATGTGCTAAAGGTTTCAGTTATTTCATTATTTTTATGTATCCTTGATTTTTTTACATTTTGTCAGCATTTTGTTTTTAAGCCAATTTTAAATCTTTGTTAGGCAACATGATAGAGTGGGGAAACTACCAGGCTGGGGAGTCTCCAAAGTTGAGTTTGAGTCATGACTCAAAACGTATACTAGCCAAGTGATAATGGACAAGTCACTGAATCTTTCAGAGTCTCGGTTTTCTCACCCGTAAAAGAGACAGTTATGCTTAAGCCTTCCATCTCAAAGAAAGCAAACTATAAAGCACTATGTACATGTGAATTTTTGTAATCCACAGAATTTACATCATTTGGAACTTGTTCCATTTTCTACATCTCCCTTAGGATTTTCCCATGGCCCCCCGCTTTCAGAAATGCTACCCTCAGGCCAGTCTACCTCTGTCCCCACAACCTATCCGATCATCCGCATCCCTCATTTGAAGATCTTTCTTCCAGGGAAAGAAGAGAAGAAGAAATGGAGGGAGTTAAAGATGATAAAGAAGTTGGAGAAGCAGCGTGCTCAGGAGGAGGCAGAGAAGCAGAAAGAGGAGGCTGAGGAAACACAAAAGCAAACAAATGGTATCTTTCAGGGGCTTGTTCTTTAGTTCTGTTGACTTTTTCTTGTTGGCACTAGGCCTGTGGCAGCTGGTGTCTCCTTTTGGGGGATGTGGACAAGGTTGTTCAGGGGTCATGTCCAGGTGTGATTTGAGGGGCCCCACACAATCACAAACCAGCCATCACCACAGCCCCTCTCATACTCACTGGTCAGCATGTGTCATATTCCACCATTAGAAAATTGTGAAAGCATAGCCTAGCAGGATGGGAAAGGGACATTCAAATCTAGGCTAATCCCTGCATTTTACAGGAGAGGAAACCAATGCCAAGAGGGGGAAAAGTGGGTCACCAAGCTCACACAGCAAGTTAGTAAAGCCAGGATTACAATGTGGGTTTCTAGAGCAACTACATTAAGAAACTGTCCTCTGCTAAAAAAAATCCTTAGAGGCATTTTCAGTAATTAACACCTTTCCAGTGGCATAATAAACTGTGAACAGGACCCTCAGAAAGAGATCTGGAAGAAGGTCTGGAATGGAAAAAAGGGCAGCCTCGATGCGTGCAGTCCTGCAGGTTGAATGAGGGAGGAGAGGTGCTGGGGAAAGAGCCCTGAGGCGAGGTTTCAGATCTAGTTTCTAGGCCCAATTCAGGAATGTTCGCTACATAAATCATGGAGAGTCACGTCCCCTCTTTGGCTCCTCCAGGTCGATCCTACACCCTGAGTGTGGCCCTCCCTGGCTCCATCCTCAACAATGCCCAGTCTTTGGAGCTTCGCACCTATCTGGCTGGCCAGATTGCCCGGGCCTGTGCCATCTTCTGTGTGGATGAGATTGTAGTGTTTGATGAAGAAGGTGAAGATGTCAAGTAAGGAGCTCCCCAGGCAAGGGAGGAGGGGGCAGTGTTGAGAGAAGGGTGGGGAAAGAGGGCCTTTGCCTGCTTAGCACATACAGATGGCCCTATGGAGGTCAGGGCCCAGAATCCCAGAACCTTCCAATCAAATGAAAGGGGAACTGAGGCCCCTTCCTTGGGCAGAGAAGGCAGGAGATTACTCTTTACCTACTGCCTATGGGGCCAGCTGCTTCAGAAGCATTTGGAAGAGCTGAGCATCTGAGTCGATTAATCCTTCATCCCCTTCCAGGAGTGTTGAAGGGGAATTTGTTGGCATTGGCAAAAAAGGACAGGCCTCGGTGCAGCTGGCTCGAATTCTCCAATACTTGGAGTGTCCACAGTAAGAAGAAATTTGTTCTGGGGGAAGGAGGAAGGGGAAGCAGGAGTGGAAGGTGGAAAGTCTCTCCTCAGAGAATCTCCCCCACCTTTTGCTGGGGTTGGGGGAAGGTCCCTGGGTCTCAAACCCAGAATGGAAAGGAGGGAAGGGAGGATTGGAGAGCAGGGCCAGGAGGAGAGAAAGTGCTTGGGGCTGGATTGGAGGGGAAATTCTCCTCTGGGAATTAATTCACTGAGAACTGTGTCCTAGGTACCTGAGAAAAGCCTTCTTCCCCAAACACCAGGATCTGCAGTTTGCAGGTTAGAACTCAGCTGTGTTCCTTTATCTTCGGTGTCATCACTTGTGCTCTTAAATTTTTCCCCACCCTCTATCCCTGTAGCCATGTCTGAAAGAACATTTATCCTGGAGTCCAAAGGCCTGAGCTCCTGTTCTGCCCCTCCCTCACGCAAGCTCCTTGTGTAACCCTGCACAAATCCCCTTCAGCTCTCTGAACCTTAGTCTCCTCATTGGTAAAGGGAAGATGGATGATAATACTTGCAGTGTTTTAACAGGCTTGTGAGGAAAGCACCTTGCAAACCTTAAAGCTTTATATAAATGTGAAGAATTGTTATTAGAATTCAAATGATAGGTGTTAGGTAGATTTACTAAGGGAAGGTTGGGAAAGTTCATTCCACATGTTTGAGCTTGGTAAGTTAAGTCAAAGTCATGGAGAGCAGATGCCATCTTCATTCACTTCCCTAATCATGAGCCTCAGTTTCCTCCTTGGTTAAATGTGCATGTTTGACCATTTGGTCTTCAAAGTTTTTTTAGCTGTGGCATTCTCTGACTTCTTCTGCAATCACATAGCTCAAAAGTGATCAAGCAAAAACTAGCACCCAGGTCTTCTGACACCGCCCCCCCCAGATGCCTAGGCCCTTTCCTCCAACCCACAGTGCCCTCTGGAGTCTCTCCTAGTATCCTGTGACCACCTTCAGCTCCCTTCTTCTCTTTCCTTAGGGCTGCTGAATCCCCTAGACAGTCCTCACCATGTGCGGCAGGAGGAGGTTTTAGAGTACCGGGAAGGGATTGTATTAGACAGGCCTACTCGGCCTGGACGAGGTTCCTTCGTCAACTGTGGCATGAAAAAGGTACCCTGCCTGGGGCCCCAGGCCTGGAGGATTGTGGCCTTCGATAGCTTAGCACAATGCCTTGCACGTAGTGGGAGCATAATAAATGCTTCTTAACTCCAATAGGTATACCTGATATTCTCAGGCCTTTTCTTGGGGTAGGAATGGGGGAGATTCCTTGCTCAGGCCCAGACACATCCTCTTCCTTCCATAGGAGGTGCAGATAGACAAGAACCTGGAACCCGGTTTGAGAGTCACTGTGCGGTTGGACCAGCAGCAGATCCCAGGTATCCTGCTCCCCCCACACCAGCCCCTCTTCTAAGGGTGGACCCAAGGGCCTTGAGGGCCTGCTTAGGATAA